TGTTCCACTGGGGAACGTGAAGGAAAAAAAACTAACTAACTAACTGATAAGTACTGTCTTGGACCGACCTATTAAATTACAATACGCTTAAGAAAGATTTTATTGTAAGTCGCAACACACTGAGCATTTCAGTGCAGTGAAAATCGGCTGGTAGTAGTAGATTCAAAATGGGGCTTCAATAACCTTCAATAGCTGAAGGTCAATCATCAATCGATAAAGTTGTGAAGCTGCATCATTTGTATAGGCTAGGACACATGTTGCACATACCAAGCCATCTTCTTCCTCCTGGAGCAATGTAAGCTGACATAGGGGGGTTAGGCTGGAAAAGAGTTAGAGGGTTGGTCATACCAAAACCTGACCGTTGAATCGCGCTACGTGGGGCCGCTAAGAACCAATAACTGGAGACAGCGACAGTAATATGCCTTAAAATAGTTCTTAATAGCACAAAGACAACTACTCCTGGATTTATTAAACTCTCGTAATTCTCCACTACGTTTTTCCTTCTCCTCTACACATTACCGTTCACTCTATCATTATATGTGAACTGGTGTACTTTGTCAAAGATTCTAAGTTGAAAACTGTTATGTAATCGTCGTCAATAAGTTCACGGGGTCGTTGCTGATAATATTAGGGTATGATCGAGTGTAAATATACGCTAATGAGACATAACGGACGATAACGTACAGACTGGTAATGCTGAGTACTTAAATTGTCCTGACGCGAAGGAGGAAATCAGAAGACCAGTCCGTTGACGATGATACGTGTATTTTCCACAAGGGAATTAACTGTCACACAGAGTGTGAGTGAAAGTACCAAACAGTACCAAAGGTGTGAAAGAGAGAGAGAGAGAGCGCCAGTAGTGTTCGAATATCTGTGAAACGAGGAGATTGAAAACTGCATATGAGAATCAAGGCTTTGAATTGATCATCTGTTAAGGACCTGAGTTATAAATCTTTCACATTCTCGGTCGACTGTGCCAACGTGAGTGCGAAAATCATCATTTCCATTCATTGTCAGCTTGAGGAAACGATATCGTAAGTTGAATAATGAGCCACTCCTCAGGTTAGTGAAAATGACCATAATTGTGACTGTCCCTTGATATTCTTGTAGAACATAGCAGTCTTCAGTAGTATGTTGTCATTTCACTCTGTTTTGCGCAATCTTTCTTACCTACCTCTGCTATTGCTCATAAGTTCTCATTTCCTCCTTACATGATCTCCTCTGTATCATCCTAGAACATTTCACTCATCGCTGCCTATTCGGGTTCCATTCAACTGCCGAGAAACGCGTAACAGGTTAGTTCTGTCCTTATGACAAAAGTTGTAGGAGTGAAGTGATTCACACACAACGTTTTGCTTACACCTGAAACTAAGAATAACCGTATGAAATGTAGTAGACGGATGTCATTTAATAATACTATTTGAGAGAAATTGTCGGTCATTTTTCAATTAAATGAACCACAGTCTAGAGCGAACGATGTGACGGTGAAACAAGTGACGTATCGACTATCGATTCATTGATGTATTCAACGGAATTACTTTGCAAATGACAAGTTGGAATACTGTGAAAATCCTGAAAATATTCACTCATAGCAAGTTTTTATCATACTGTTGCTACTGCTGCTTATGAAGAGCCGTATTCATTACAGTTCTGATGCATCATAAATTCTGCCGACTTGCAGCATCTACACTATCTACTCTGGAATTCGTTATTCGATGTGTTTTTTCCACTACTTTGTTTTCCGATGGCAACATAGTGCTTTGAAATTTCACTAGCTGTGGTATTTCTTACTACAGGGAGGGATTGAAAGGCTGAGTCAGGTTCGACCACCCCTCTCTGCTAGCAAACTAGGAGGGCGCGTCTATCGGGAATTGAACGCAGGTCACGTGTGTGTGTGGTTCGAGAGTATTCTACAACTGAACCACCGACTGACTCACTGTTTGATGTATATAGTTTTATACCTTTCAATTTGTTGTACTCTCTGTTAACTATAATGGAGGCCAAGGCGTTAGATTGGAAATACTTTAAAAATGCACGTGAGTGAGTGAGTAAGTAACAGGAATAGATAACTTTGACTGGACACTACACTAGGTAGTAACCAATATCATGAGTGTAAACCGTGGTAATAGTGCAGACTGAAGTCAGGTGGTTGTTCAATGAAAAGTTTCTTTTCGGTGATTTCATTCTTTTCTTTAGTTGTACAATCTACATTTAGATGCAGTCTTTCCACCACAAAGCAGGATGAGTGATGAGTTGTCATAGTCACATTTGTTATTATTAATAAATACATCAAAGGAGTTGAATATAGGTGTATGCCAGTTACGTAATTAGGTGACTAATTTAATGTGAATGAGTTGTAATCATGATGCATACAGGAACGGAAGAAAATGTGGTATCATATAAGATTTCGAGGGAAATACACTTTGTTCGATGCGTGTCCTGTCCTGTCAAAAAGGATTCAAGAACACTATCCCGCATAGTTACAGAAAGGCAACAGTGGCTCTCTATATGGAGTGCGACAATCCAACACCTTGTCAATACTGATCATTCCATCCTCGGAAAACGCCTCCGTCAAAGTAATCTGCAAAGTTAAGAATAACCTGCCAAAGGCAGTACGATTTCGCCTTCTTTGCATTGTTGAAGGTTTAACTGTTTAGTTAGAGAAACAGGAATTCTGCATACAAAAGAAAATTATTAAACCACTTCTACTATCATGTTAACAAGCTTTTTTGTTTTCTAACTATTTGTAACTCTTGTATTACTTTTGAACTCTTACGTAATACCACACTTTCTTTCATCCCTGTGCATTGTGATTACAGCTCACTGATTAAATTATTCATCTAATTGCGTAACTCTCATACACTTATTCACCTCCACCTATACATTGATTAATATTAACAACTATGATTATGATAACTCATCACTCATCTTCCTTCGTGGAAATATTTTATATAAATAAATTCAACTGTACAACTAGAGAAAATGTATTCACCGAAGAGGGCCTCTTCACTGAACTGCTCGTTTTGTTTTCATCAATGTCTCGATGGGGATTTGACTTCTGTCAGTTGAGTTTGCAGTGTTGTCACCATGCTAGCTAGTTTACCACCACGGTGCACTCTCAGTTGTTATTGAATGGTTGGGCGGCTGTCAATTGCCTCCATCTAACCATCCTAACATCAATGACTGGTGGATTCCATTTGATTGATTAAGCCGACATATAAAGGAAAGTGGATACATTCAGTCAAAGACTATTTGTTAACCTAAAGTTACAGGAAGGCTATTTTGTCTCGTGGCAGATGTGGCTGGCTCATTGACTTGAACACTCGATTTCCAACCAATGGCTCCCTAGTTTGAAATTTCCCACCACCTCCTCCTCCTTCATTCTTTGCAAGTAGTAGTAAGTGATATCGTTAGTTCTCATACGAAAACTGTGGCTCGTAGCCACCGTATAATTCTGTCCCGAGTAAATGACTTTCAACAATAACCAACCACCTGTTCTACTACTTTAATGGCATTCAAGGTGTTTTTTATTCTAATGTGGCCAACATAAAAAATATAAACGATTGGCATATTATAACTGAAGTGTAGTAGTTGTTGTTGTCTTAACAGTGTGTCTGATCATATGGGGGTGTTGGACAATTTGATGTGCGAATAATTTGTTTAAAATCTATCGTCTCATCCGCATCGTGTTTAAATCATACTACAATCATAAGGATATTATAATCCGTATTGGATATCAGAGATATGCATGACATAATTGATCAATAGATAAATGAATACTCTCTCTATTTTTAGAGTTATCTGTTCTTTTTATCAGTCATTAACAACTTCTCTATCCAGTAAATTGAATAAATTTATCTCTGGGTTATTTTTTTTTGTTGTTGAAAATAATGATTTCACCATGGTAACACAGTAGCTTGTGTTGACTGCTAACTCAATGAATTTGTGGAATGGTAGGGAAAAAGAGGTGTAATGTGTTAGCGGGAGTAGATTGTAAAGTGTGTAGTAAGAAGTCTACAGTAGGATAGAGCCTCTGGCTTGAAGCCCTATGTTCCACTGGGAACGTGAAGGAATAAAAAAAAATGACTCTTACAAGAGAACCGAAACAATAATAAGGTATTTCGATGTACCTTTGGTTAAGCAAAAACCAGTTGAAATAATATAAGCACAGTCGTCTAAGTAAATATCATGCAGCAAATGTGAGAATCGTTTGAATGACGACGTGTTATGGAGCAGAGTGGAGCATGTTCATTATAGACTTGTTCATCCATCAGTTTTCCAATGAATTTTGTTTAACTGTGATTAAAGTGCATAGAAAATTGTATTTTATTCAGAAACAGTCAGTAGGCCTCGTAAATCTCATTGACACACACACACACACACACACACACACACACACACACACACACACACACACGAAACTCGATTGAACCTACTGTAACCATGTTAGCTAATATATATTATAATATCTAGTTAATTCTCATATTTCATTGACTCTCCTCCTCCTCCTCCTCCGTAGATCGCAATCTTACGTGGTTATTGTGATTAGAGGTTTTATAACTGAGAGATCAGTTGAGCTATACCTACCTTAACCGAAATAAAATATCCATGCAAAAATAGGTTGCAGCAATGAACATCGTTATGGTTTATAATGAGATAAAATAGATTATAAGTTTGATTGCGTATTGATATCAACTAGAGAATCAATGAAAAAACAAACAAACAAACAGAGAATACTGAACAGTAGTTTCGTCCTAGTTTGGGACTCTTCATCGGACCGAACAGTTGTCCAGTTTTCCCTGGTTTTCAATAGTCTCTGTAACTGATACACTAATTCGTGATCAAAGTGACAACCGATCAAATCCCTACAAAATAACGCCTGAAAATAGTTTACGCTGCATAAAATGACGGTAGTGGATGAGATATAAGTACAAAACATATTTTATACATGCAATGAGTGCTAATAAAGTAAGTGACTATAGTCAAAGAAGCTTACTTACCCCCAGGAAGAAATTCCATAACTAAATACAAATTCACTGAATCTTGAAATGAATAAAACATTTTCACAACCCAAGGATTATCTGCTTTGACTAGAATATCACGTTCAGCGCGTACATGAGCTACCTAATATAAAAATGAAAGCAAAAACAAACAAGGCAAGGATGAGACACTGGCATTGTGAAGTGAAAAACTTGGATGTATTAATCAGACAGGCTAACCGACAGGTGTGATTCGGTTACAAGTCTTCAGTGCAACTGGCCAAAAATATACAAAACAAGTCTACCTATCCTACTAATCAGATAGGTGAGTGTCTTCCGACCATTTTGAAAACAAAAACACAAAAAACACCATTTATCCCATTCGGTTGTGACGGCTGACACTGCAACAGCAACAAATACTCGCCGAAGACACTGGCTAGCGGTCGCGCTATGTCGTGAATTGGCAGAAGTTAGAATTCATGGGCTGGCCATTGGATCGGGTCCCAGTGGCTTAATGGTATACGAGCTCGCTAGCCTTGTAACCAGAAGTTCCTGGGTTCGAATCCCGGATGGGTGCGTACTGATGAAGAGTCCCAAACTAGGACGAAACAACTGTCCAGTACTCCCTGCAGGTTTTCCAATGGTTCTCTAACTAATGTCAGCTCATGATGAAAATCCTGTAACCAATCAAATCCCTACAAACCAACACTTGAACTACTACTAGTACGAAGTTATTGAGGGTGAAATAAGGTTGGAGTGAGATTGAACATCGGAAGTTGTCAGCTGATAGTCAGTCGTGTGGTTATAAGCCAATGAACCACACACATCAGATATATGCATAATTTTATATATACCGGATATCAAAACAACGATAATAACTCATTAACAATTGAGGACAGAATTATTGGAAACTTCTAGGCTTGTGGGTTTATCGATGCAGTATATATACTGATAAACTGATTATGTTTCGCTTTCGCCATATTCATATAAAATTACTTCATTTTATTCGGTATACAATTTATACTTTAGTGGACAATCCTATATAGCGACAACAATGAATAATAGCGAGGAGGCAGGAAGGAACAAGGAAGGAAACCATAATTTATCATAAGCAATCTCTGTGTGTGTGTGTGTGTGTACGTACAAGAACAAGAAGAATAACAACGACGAATATCCCGTAAACAATAGAAACGAAAGTGTTTTTATACAATCCAATGGATTTTTTTGTTTGTTTCTTCTATGCACATTCACAAGTACACTAACTTTGGTTATTGGCATTGTGGAAGCGCAAATAGGCGTTCTACAAACCAAAAAATTAGGTCTTATTCAAGTTCACATCACAAATGATGATACCTACGTACAGAATTCTGCGATTCACGTTAAATTTCAACAAAAACACAAGGAGATGAAAGAGTTTTAAAAGAAAACATCAACTAGATTTGCGGGCATGAGTCAGTGGTGCAGAGGTCCTTTCTGGCTGTGAGACCTGGCCATTGAGAGCAGAAGACATGAAAAGATTAGCTGTCTTTGATCATAGGTGTCTGCGTTCTATCTCCCGCGTGAAGTGGTATAATAAGGTGAGCAATATTGAGGTTAGGCATCGGTCGAGTGCTAGGTAAGGCGGGGAAATCAGTAGACGAGACTGTGAAATTACATCGACTGAGATGGTTGGGACATATGTTACGTATGCCTAGTCATCGCCTTCCTCGAAAATGGGCAATGTTAGCTGATATAGGGTCAGGCTGGAAAAGAGCTAGCGACGGTCAAACGAAAACATGGCACCAGTCAATGAAATTCACAAAAGTTAGTTTAAGCCAGCCACGTAGGAAGGTGTAGACTTCCTGGTTGGGGTCCTCGGGACGGTAAAAACCAATGGTTGGAAACAATTGGTGACATGGCTCAAAATCGTTCTCAATGACTGGCGCAGATGCATCCACTTCTTGTGACTTATGATTTCCAATTAAACTGTTTTGTTCTTCGTTATTACTATTCCTTTGTCTGACACCTCTGTTTACTGTCTCTAATATGCATTTCTCCTACTTTCTTCTCTTGCTTTGTGTGTTACATGGAGGGAGTGTGGCGACTTGAACTGGCGCACATATGTGCAAAGTTCTATGTCGAAAACCGACCGACCGGTGCAGAGGTAGAATGCTCACCAACCACACACTTGGCTCGAGGGTTCGATCCCCAGCTGACGACGCATACTCAAACCTTGCTTAGCTGGTAATAACTCCAGCAAAGACGGAAGGTTGGGCGTGAGACTAACAACAACCCACCGCGTGAAAATAAAACACCACTGCTACCGAAACTGACAAAGCACTGATTTGAAACCCTTTGTTCCACTGGGAACGTGAAGGATAAAGATATCGATGAACCATAATGCAAATTAATTATGCTTCAATCCAGTGATGTGTACGTGATTGAACAAAAGAAGAGGACGATTGCAGTGAATACAATTTTCCTTTCAGCAAATTCATTCCCACATAGTAACAATCCAGGTAACGACAATCAAAATGTAACCCTTACACACCAACCACAAGCTTGCAATAATTATGATACTGTCCTACTATAGTGGTGAGAGCTGGCTGCTAGCCAAAGTTGGTAGACTGTAATTGACGTCAATGATTATGTCCCCAATATTGGTGATGAGAAAATGAGAACAAGGCTTTGCGTAGGCGGATGCAGTTAGCATATGGATGATCTGACACAGCCACAAAGAGATGCAAGGTTAACTTTCTGTGAGAAACAACCAATCAAAAGACTGTATTTTCTACTAACAATAATCTACAATAATTTACATTAATATCTATAAATATGTGTTGATTTTCCTTAATAAACGATCTGTTGCCTGACCCTTGTCTTCTGTTGTTATACTATTACCATCAGATGGCAGTCGGGTAATACAGCTCGAAGTCCGTCCTCTGAATATACATAAATCAAAGCGACAAATTCAACCGCAAAGACGTTAACATTCTAGAACACATTATCTCGAAGAGTGAAACGAAGCCTTTTGAGGTTTGACAGTCACAAATATAGACAAACAACACTTGCGAAATTTACAAGAAGAAAAAATTGCCAGGTGAATTCTCAACTTTGAATGCTGTTTCAAAACAATAAAAACTCCATTTCAGAAAAAAAAAACCGAAAGAAACAATAAAATAAAAGAGCTTAGGGAACATCTTCGGTAAATAAGGCGGGACATTTGAAGTCAACAAGATGAAAGGAAAACAGTAGAACTTATGAAGTTGTAAAAATAAACTGAAATGAGGGGGAACCACCACCCAACAAGACACTGTCAACGACTTAAATCACTTCGAAGTGTGAAGGGTTCGTGCAAAAAATGACATTGAACGTGTAAATTTAACTTTTCTCGAAAGTTGATTATCAAGCTTAATTCTTGTTCTTTGAGATAGATAAGATAACTACTACTACTACAGAATGAAAACATTGAGTAGAAGACATTTTAAAAAGGATGAGCTACCCAACTACAGCCCAAGGATACACACACACATACTTGCTAAAATCGCAGGAAGGAACTTATTTTAAGATGTACAATGAATGTTCATTTCTTATTCAATAAGGAATATTGCAGACAAATTGATGGTGTAGCTATGAGTTCCCCATTAGGTCCAACCCTAGCTGATGTTTTCCTCGCTAATTTGGAGAATGGACCACTAAAAGGAGTAATTCATGACTTGGATTTCTACTGTCGATATATGGATGACACATTTCTGGTTATGAAAGACGAGAATGATGTAATGAACATCCTTGACAAGTTTAATGGTGCACATTCAGCAATAAACTTTACCATAGAGAAAGAAAGTAATGACAGTATCTCATTCCTAGACGTCTGCATGGCAAGGAAAAAAAGATGGCACACTAAGAAGGATTGTGTATAGGAAACCTACAACAACAGGTCAGTACACTCATTTTTTAAGTTTTGTACCTTTGAAATATAAACGTAACCTGGTAAAGTGTCTGGTTCATAGAGCTAGGTTAATCTGTTCAGACAACTGCCTCAATGAGGAGCTTAAGATTATTAGAGAATTACTCAGAAAAAAATGGTTATCCAGATAAATTCATCAAGAAAAATATGAATTCAGCACCTAGGAGAGTCAGTATGGCTACAATTCCGAAAAAACCAATGTTCATAAAATTGCAGTTCCTCGGAGACAACATCAGTGAAATAATAACACAGCACCTGAAGAATGAAGTTAAAAGAGCTTATTATGCAGCAGAGGTACGTTGTCTCTTCACAACCACCCCTATTCTATGTTCGAGAAATAAGGATAAACTACCTAAATTTGCCTCTTCTGTGTGTATCTACCAGTCCGACTGCAGCTGTGGAGCCAGCCACATTGGGCGTACAATTAGGCAGGTTCATCATCGTATTTCTGAACATCATCCAGCATGGTTAAGCAAGGGACAAACAAGATCTATTCGTAGTTCTATTTTAGCACACCTCGTTGATACTGAGCAAAAGGTTGATGTCAATACTGCATTTAAAATTACTTATCGCATTCCTACTAATCTTAATTTTGCTCTACGAGTTCGTCTTCTACAGACAGCTGAAGCAATAGGAATCCACTTGAAGAAGCCAAGCTTATGTGTTCAGAAGAAATTTGTACAGCCACTTTCCTTACCGTGGCCATCTCTAGAAGAATGCATAAACAGGACTACGTCGACCCCTTCCCCTAAACCTTTAAAAACTATAAAAATTATAATTGTCCAAATTATTTTATTTTTATTTATTTTGACCACTTCATCTTTAATTACGTGTTATTCTTGTAAAATTAATTTATTCTATGCATTTCTACCTTTTAATTGTGTGTAATGATTTTCTTCGTTAATTATCAACCTATTGACATTTTGGCACTGTTTAATTATCGTTAAAAAACATATCGCCACTTGATTGGTAAACTGTTGTGTATTGTAATAAAAATGCTATACGTGTATATTAGAGTAGAGCCAGAGATGAGGATCTAATTGAAAAGTAAATATTTCTTCGCTCAATCTTTCTGTTTTCTAAAATCGCATTCATGTAAAATAGATGAAAGTCAGTACAGTTAGAAATTAATGCCTTATGGTCTTGATTCAATGAATTCATCAAAGTTGAAATTATGTTATCATTATTTTATGAGAAATTATTATTTAAGTGTATTAAATATCATAGATTATCTATCAACCACTGACATTTCCATCCGCAAGATACCACTAGTGTGTCAATGAGTAGTGTTAATAACCATAGAGAACATAATCCTACAAGGTATGCGAACAATCGATAAATTTCCATTAGCGAACAAAATACTTAAAAGGTCATCATCATTTTATGCAAAGTGGTTTACACCACTTAAAGTTCTCAAGAAGTTATTCAACCTTTATCTGTTAAAATCATCACGTACAACCATAAGTATAAAATAATAATAATTATTATTATTATTACTATTACTATAACAGTCGCCAATAATATGAAAGGCTTAAGCTTAACTACTTACTTGATCTTTCTGTAGCATATCTGCTTTATGTAAAATCTTCATCGCATAGATGTAGCCATTATCTTGTTTCTGGACTAACCTCACCTATTAAAAGAAAAATAAAAAATAAAAATGTTGAAATAATAATAATAATAGGTCGAATTATAATATTTTATCTTAAATAAGATAATCCCAGTGAGTTGATGGTTCAATAGTAAAATGCTAGCCAACGAAACACGTAATCCGGGATCGACTCCCGGCCGACGCGTGCTTCTAAACCTCGTTTAACTGGTAGTGAACCCTGCAGGGAAGTTGATGTATCGGACTAGCAACCTCACCCTATAAAAGCAACGCCAAAGCTACTGAAACTCCAAAGCTCAAGCTTGTAGCCTTATGTTCTCTACTGGGCTGGCTGGCTGGATTCAACATAGAACTTAGCACCGAAGTACAGCAGTTCGAGTTGCCACGTTCCAAATAGCACGCAAACGTAGACAAGAAGATGAGTGAAGAGAATCAATAGAGTTTTGACAAGTATAAGAGTGAAACAGAATGAGTAATGGTAGAAAGGAATATGAAAGACTACAGAGACTGAATATATCTGCGTAAGCCATTGACAACGATTTTGAGCCATGTCACCTATTGTCTCCAGCCATTGATTCTTAGAGTCTCGAGGGCCCCAACCCGGAAATCTGCATCTCCCTACCTGACTCAGTTTAACTGTCAAGGATTTCATGGATTGATTGATGCCATGTTTTTGTTTGGCCACCACTTACTCTTTTCCAACCTGCACCTATATCAGCTCTACTAGGAACGCAAAGGAATAGAAAAAGACATATTACTGAAATGACAAAAAAATCATAGGCAGTGAAATAACAAGACAAGAATGATTTTTTCTATTGAACAGAAGTTTAACTTGAAGATCATACATAAATTAACGATACAGCAAAGAGTGAAATATAATGGTGTCACCAATACTATTGACATGAAAAGGAACTAGTTATTTTATCATAAGTTGGCAATGAGAAACGAGATGCCATGTCGAATGGTTCTGGACAAAACACTAGAACCAGGATCGGTGCGTAATAATATGGATCCATTTTACTTCTTCGGTTCTCTGCACCTGTGTATAACCTATGATACATAATGGAACCAATTATAATACAACTTAAACGTACATTTGGTTTATCATCGTGAATCAGTTCGCCAGTAAGGATTGTTGTAAGAAAGACATAGTGAAGTAAAATATATACTACAGAGGCTTCGATTTAGGCAACTAAATAGTTTGAACTCGTCACCTACCAAACACTTCATAGGCACAGACAAAAACACAGCCTAAGCCTTCTTCTTCAGTTTGCAGTAGCTATCACAATAAAACGACTGAAACTTGACTTATGTATTCAGAAGGAATCTGTTGGATGACTTCAATTAAACTGGTAATTCTTTTTTCCTTTTTTCTTCCAAACGCCCCCACCAGCTTTTTTTTCGACTTTCATATTACGCTTAATAAGTTTTGACCCTTTGAATTCTACTCACTCACTGTATTACATCATTATCTCTTCATCCAACTTTTTACACACCGAATTTTGATTTTTCAGTCTTGTGGAGTTGTAATCAATGTGTTTTGTTATCTTTGATTACGCAATTATCACTGAGTTATCAAAGCTCTAACAACAGAATGGTTCATTTCTCTTTTTACGAAAAACTTCGCTCTTATAAAATGTATATGCATGTTAATATACTGATAACAATTTGAGATAACCACCTTATTTTCCTTATGTTTTGTCTGACTATGACTTTCTTATAACAATCCTTATTGGCGGACTGATTAACGCTGATAAACTAAATGTATGTTGAAGCTGTATTATAACTGATTTCATTAAATATTTATTATTGGCTGTACACAACTGAAGAGCATCGACGAAATAATAATTATTATTCTAGACCAGTGTTTGTTCTACCTCTGTTTCTTTCGTATTCTTTTACGGTTCCCAGTGGAACATAGGGCTTCAAGCTAGAGGCTTGAAGTTTCGGTAGCAGTGGTGTTTATTTTTACGGGATGAGGTTGCTTGCCTCATGCCCAACCTTGCCTCTTTACCAGTCTTATTACTGGCTTAGCAAGGTAAATGAGTGCGTTGGTAGCCGCGGATCTAACCCCGAACCACCTGAGTGGTCAGCGAGCATTCTACCGCTGTGCCATCGACGCATGTTCTATCTCTATAAAAGTTTATAAGGGGGTATGTATTCGTGTATGAAAAAAACACTAATCAACTCACAATATACACCAAGAAGAGACTACATGAAAATACACCAGAAACCATTGAGGATTGGTTCGAAATCAATTCAGTGGATCAAAAGAAAATAGTAGAAAATAGAAGGTATAATTGCGTAATAATGTTCCTGAGTAGGACTGACAACTGTATAGTACATATCAGTATTAGGGGTAACAGTCATTAGTTGTTAGTCGGTTAGCTGTGATGACTAGTCAACGGCGACAACAATGATTTTTACCAAACAAAAAAAAGAAACGATTATTTTCCATCAAGAAATTGGCATTGGTGGTGGTTCAATGCTTGAATACATGCCCTCCATGCATGTGGTACAGTACAGGGTTCGACCCCTTCGACCAACATACTTCCGAATCTCCCTCATCAGCTGGTGGTAAGATCAGTAAAGAGGGAAGGAAGACTGAGCATGAGGCTAGCAACTCCACTGCTACTTAACAATTGAGAGTTTATGCTTGAAGCCCTGTGTACCACCCCAGTCGGAAAGAATCGAAATGTCGAGTCAGTTAGACAGCTTACTATTCATCGGATGAAAGTACTTCCAAACAATTTTATTTTCATATTTGTAGGAAATATATTTACTACAGATCAGTGTGTGAGTTATCACACTGTTGTTTTACTGAAATTGTAACAGCATACAGTAGAGACGAATGTGAATGGAACAACAGCGCTACAGTAAATGACAACACATGGTGACGACTTTCGAAATAATTGATTGATTTCAATGAGTCTTTCACTAAACTATAATTTAGACGAATTGAATTTTAGATTTTCCCGTCGATTGATTGGACCGAAGTGCTCGGTCTCAGGTTGACATGTCGGCTTCTTGTGCAGATGCTTCGACGATGTCTGGGCATGTAGTGAGAATTTAATTGGTGGATGGTGACTAGCAGTGGAATCCAGGGTGCACATTTCGTCCTATTTGGGACTCGTCATCTGGATGTACCTGCATTCCCCAGTGAGTAATGATGTTCTCACCGAGGCTCAAACCCAGTGCCCATAGTTTCAAACGCCAAAGCGTTATCCATTAGACCACTTGGGCCACGAGAGCCACCTCTTGTACAACGGGTCATATTACTTATTTAATTGAATTATAGATTTTCCCGTCGATTGATTGGACCGATAATTTAGACGAAGTTCACCCTTTTTTTTCTCGTGTGATTATTGACGTTTTAACTAAAATACTTGAACTCTATTGTGATAGGAAGACTAGACTAAAACGTGAACATTTAATGAATAACTCTTGACGTTAAAATATGACCTTTTTTCATCATACTGACTCTAGTCTATATACATATATTTCTTATCGTCAAGAGTAAAAACACATTTTGTTGTTTTAAAACATTTAGAGAGTAATAAACGATGTGTTGTCGTTTTAGGCGGGTATCAATATTAGAATTGGAAGTATTCTCTTCAAGTCAAGTGAAAACTATTTGAATGTGAGCAGCTTTCAATAACCTATTCTAGTTGTCTTCAATGATTATGGCAAATTTTCAATTAGACATTGTATTTGCATTTAAATTCAAACCAGTTCAATGCTCCATGCACCAAATATCTGATTTGTCAACTTTTAGAAGACTAATACTTTTATATTGCATGGAGGATTTCATCATAAGCTGACATCAGTTAGAGAACCACTGGAAAACCTGCAGGGAGTACTGGACATCTGTTTCGTCCTGGTTTGGGACTCCTCATCAGTACGCACCCACCACAGGGGTTCGAACCCAGGACCTTCTGGTTACAAGGATAGCAAGAAAAAAACAAGCACCAAACCCCCCATCAAGAGGAGAAATCTGAGGGAAGTCACCTTTTCCACTTATCTGGACAGCATCATTTAAAACTACAACCAATCGGCACAGATGAGGATGTCAAAACCAGAAATGGAAAAGTAGGACAGACCTTCATTATTCTGAAAACAGTATGCAAGTCTTCTCCATTAAGCATAAAGAATCAAATTCACATTTTCAACATTAAAGTCAGTTCTGTATGACTCAAAGACCTGGCACCCGCCTCACTAAAAGCATTTCCAACAGGCTGCTGAAGACTTTTAGCAACAGCTACCTTCAATCCCTACTGAAGGTCAGATGAACAGAAAGGACTACCAAACAAAAACCAACCAAGAAGAACCTATTGCCCGACAAATATATCGAAGAAAAAAGTAGCGACTACTGAACAACATCACGCGCCAGGCGCACCCTCAAGTGGAACCCGAATGGGAAACGACTAGTTGGGCATGATGAGTTCAAGTGCCACATGGAGAAGATGAAAGCGTATGGTTAATCGGGCTAGAGAGAACAAGATGAAATGGGAGTATTCTGGTGAAGCCCTACGTTCCATTAGGAACAATAATGCAGAAATAACTTAATTAATATTAGGCATAAACCACGAGAAAATTGATCAGTGTTTCATTGCTATCTCATTATAATGACAGTCATAACTTGATTTTATACGACAACTTTGTAAATTGCCCCTTGACATCCCACTGACTGATCGACTTCAAAGTAGCACTTTGCCCAAAAGTGCATCAGTTCGAGTTCGGCACACTTCCACGGTGTGGGCACAGTCAGGAAGTAACAACCACACCCACACACTTCCAAAAGCCAACGAAGCCCTCCTGATCATCATTCTCCTTTATCTGTGTCACCCTCTTGACATCCTACTACTAATTAGCATAGGATAATTTCTGAAGAAGTAGTTAAGCGTCAAAACAGCTCAACTTTTCGTTTAGAATGCATACAGTCAGGGATTTTTTTCTCATTGTCAAATATGCTATGATGCGAAAATAAGTAGGCAATACAAATGAATACATCTATAACTTTTGAC